TCGCCCGCTACGCCTCTGCCTACACGGATTAGGCGTCCGCCCGTATCGCTGGTACTCGCGCGCCCCTCGTGCGTCTCGCCCCAGCTGGCTAACCATCGCGCGCCCGCTCCCGCCAATCCTAGGCCCACTAGGCCTTGGCTATTGCACGCGTCCCGGCCACCTGCGCTAGTCCCGTGCACGCCAGCAGCTCCCGTCTCGCCCGTGTGCCGATTGTCGATCCCCGTGGGCTGCTCGTCTGGCGCTCGCGTATCATCTTGTTCCGTCCATCCTCGCGCATCACAGGCCGATGCGCACCACTCGCTCATTAGCCGGTCACCGTCGATCTTCTTGTCACAGGGGTACGGAACCCACTTCCGTATCATTCCCCTCCTCTTCGAGACTTTCCTTGTCCTCAAGGATCTATCCACGACCATCCACCCGACGGGCACTCTTTCTTCGATCTCAACCTCTTCAAACATCATGTACGACTCCTTCTCACGGGCCACGTCCAAGACCACGAGCAAGATCTCTTCCTTGAACTCGACCACTTCGGTTTCTTGATCGCACGATTTTAGGAACTTCTCATCGGCCTCTGCTTGTTGCTCTTCCTCCATGATCTTGAGTTGTCTTTCATACTCCCCTTTTTGCTCGTACATCTCCTCCAAATAGTTTTGCTCCCATGGGGTTAATTCCCTCTCCAAACCTTCCAAATATTCGAGATCCTCTTGATCCCACTCAACTAATGGCTCAAACATCATGATTTTTTTTTAAGACTCTAAAAAATCGAAAAATTAAATGGGGAAAAATTCGAGAAATTCGAACCCCCAACAAAGACTCAAAAAATCGAAACAAAAAAAAGAAATTCGGCCCCTCAACAAAAGGTAATAGCCGAAAAAATAACAAAAGGACTAACAAGATGACACTTTTTTTTTTTTAATGAAATTTCGAAAAAATTTGAAAATTTTGACTCAAAAAATAAGAGAAATTCGGTCCCTCACCAAAAGGCAAACCGAAAAAAATAAAGATAAGATAGACAAAATATCGATCAGCACCTCTCAACG